ATACCGGGAAAGTACTTATGCTTCTTGGTAACGAGGGCGACGGAGAAGCAGCACGTGGACCCAGAAAACCTAGTCTTGTCTTTGACGAGGCTGAGGGACTTCCTTGTAGAAATGGACGTGAAGGAGCTCTCGCTTCCAGTGTACGATCCAAACAGAGGAAGACTGCATCCTCGGGAATTGTACGCGCTTGTACACGTGATATTCTCTGATACGAACATACAAGTATATCTACACAAGAAATATTACTTAAGTATAGGCTGAGTGATGTGCGAAAGAGTGTTAGGTCAAAGACTAAGTTGCATGTGATATGTGTGTTATGTTATGTTATGTGTTGGGTTATTAAGATCATGGGTAAGTAGGGGTTAGTGACCATGAACAACTAAATGACGATCTTGGAAATAGATCCAAGGTTTGGACTGTCCAATCTTAGGTCGAATTCCAAAATTTTAGAAACCAATTGGTTTTAATAAATTTAAGGATAAATATCTTTTTATCTGAACTGTTTTAAGCAAATTTTAACGATATATGTTAAGGTGAAACTGACAAGTGTGATATTCGTGATTTCTTTTCTAGATCCTGATTGATCATTTAAATTACTCACTTGAGTCAAAGAATCGAATCAAATCAAACTTGAAAAGAATAGAATGGACAACTTCAACCTGGATGAATTGATGGACCTGGCAGAGGCATATGTAGGACCGATGGTAGATGCGATCTATCGTCGGCTGATCGAACGAGACTTCGCTCTGGAGGACCCAGAGGTGGTCATGTTGCTGACCGCCCTGATCAACATCTTGGGGCACGACAACCGTGGGGACCGCCCCACGGAAGTCCTGTTGATGGCAGCATATGGAGAAAGAGGAGTACTAGACCGCCCGAACATGAGAGTGATGAGGTGGAGAAACGGGGCTCTCTCAGGGAGTGACTTGGCGAATGAGCCTGGATTGGGAAGTTCTAGGACTTACCAACCAGGTGAGATGCCAATGCCCTCTAAGCCTAAACCTGGGTTGACGAGAATGCATCAGGAGATGAACAGCGAGGCGACCTCGTCTGGTTCACCACTGAGAGCAGCTGTGCCACCAAAAAGGGCGAAAGTAACACAGAAGGTTCGGACGAACCAAACCATACAAGATCTGGACGAGATTAACGATCAGCTGAGAAGTACGAAGAAGGAGCTGGACGAGATGACCAGAAGCATGCTCCAGATGGAGGAAGATCGGGACATGTGGAGAAAGTTGTTTGAAGACTGCAACAAAAAGCAGGGTCAAGAGATCGAACGCTTAAGGCAGGAATACAAAGAGCGATCGGAGCAGGTGGCGTTGACAACGGCCGTGGAGAAAGTGATACCTGCAAGGGATATTCCTCGTGGGCAGTCCCCGATGGAGCTCTTGACGCCTCGAGAATTGAGTCAAACAACGGAGACACGACCTCCAGTAGAGACAAATCGAGTAACGATCCCGGATCCTAGTGACACCTTGGGTGACCCCGTCGTGGAACAGACAGTGAGGAAACTGATCGAGACAGCTGGACGACTGGTCGCTAACAAGAATGCGCCAGGTTCCGGGGTGACTGCGCCCTATGGAACGATTGACGATACGGGCAGAGTACAACTCTCCCAGACCGTGATCAGACAAGGGATAAGTAATGTGACACCACTCATGGGGAGCTCGAGAATCCCAGAGAGGAAAGTACGAAAGATGCCAGCGAAGAAAGTGTCTCGTGTAATAGACGTGCAGAAGAACAATCAATTGAAGTATAATTTCACGGGAGTTCCGGAGACATATCCGAGGGCCTGCTTCAATCGAGCTACCTGGAGCCCGGCTGTGAAACTGCAGCAACCACCACTCGGGACATCTCACCTGATATTGGGAGACAGTTTAGTCAGAGTGCTGTCGAATTTGAGGACCTCGTGGGTCACCACGGTGATGGCCTTTGGAGGTGCGACGATAGCCCAATTATATCAGATGGTGGAACTGATGAATCCAGAGAAGATTCCCAATGTGATGATCTTAGTTGGGACGAATGACATCTCCAGAGGATCAGACGAGCAGGAAGCACTGTGGGAGTCAATGATGGTGTGTTTGTTCACTACCCTCTGGCAGAAGTTCAGTTGCGCGGTACTGACCGTTTGCACTGTGCCAATGAATACGAAAAGCCTGACAGCATCAGGAAGGAGGCACAACGAGGGAGTCATGAGATGGAACAACATCTTGAGGAACCTAGCAAATCGAAATACCGGAAGGATGATCCTCATGGACATTGAACATGAGTTGAGAGCCATGGATCAGGCCACACTGACCACGGATGGCATCCACTTCGACAGTATCGAAGGGCAAGCTTGGTTGAATCGAGTCTTCCAAGAACGGTTGGAGGAGCTGGAAGCAGAACTTTTTGACACAGGAGTGCTGAAGGAAAAGGGAACGGTGAGTGATGCGGTAATTACCACCTTTGTGCCTCCTAACCTGGAAACACGCCTGGGTACGGTCCCAGCCGTCACGAATTACCGGTAACAAAGCTCCAGCGAACCAGGTCGAAGAACAGACGTGCAGGATCGGCTGGGAGAAGCACCGATGAGGAGAACAATTCATCCTAGGAGAAGGATAGGACCTGTCAACCAACCAATCGAAGAAGTAGCAGGCGCATCTAGATCGGACACTAGATCGGAGACGACGAGTACCAGTCGAGAGGAAAGACCGAGCAGAGGCTCATTGTTGTGGTCGAGGTCCATACCGTCTCCTTGGCATATATACAAGGACGAACTAATGAAGCTGGATCTCCAGAGAGTAAGCTTCATCGAAGATGCGAGGAGGATGTTGAATGGAGCGACGCTATCCGTCAGCAGATTGTACTCGATAACCGGCGTAGACTGGGTGATAGCCGCTAGCAAAAATTTCAGCTCCACGACGGCCTTGAGATTTGCTGATTTGGAGGGACTGCCCTCTAACAACACGATAGGATCAGTGAATGCGAGACGGTTGCAAGATGTGAGATTGAACCATGATGAGGGGAATCGTGAAGAGAGACCAGGAAGATTCCTGACGGCGAGAGCGCCGATTGGACAACACGTGAAGGTATTTAGGCAGCTGACGACACCACCTGGTCATGTGAAGGAGAGAGTGTACCCAAAACTAGTGAACCAAGATGGTGATGCCCAGAGATATGGCGGATTGACAGCGATAAAGAAAGATGAGACCATCTTCGCCGCCTATGACAAAGCAGAGATGAGGAAGGCCAAAATCATGGTAGTAGCGAATTCAGAGTTCGTGTACACCTCCAAGTCTTTGTTTTGGCCGGACGTCATAATGTTGGCCGCGGTTGACCTAGACCTATTGCAATCAGTGTCTTTGGCTATAGGGGTACAAAGGCAGACAGAAATGAACCCAATTACGATTGTGTTTGCTGGCATCAATGACCATCTACACAATCTACACAGTAGAGGTTTTCTGAGCAGGCTCAGAGATCCTGCAACAGCAGAAAACGCAGTATGGCCAGCAATAAAAGACATCCTGGAGTCGATGGGTGAAGTGGTGGATGCGACGAAGGAGGGGTCATTCAATAAAGTGGCGTTGAGTGTAGTATTCGCGTTGTCTCCGGGATATGCACATCTCCCGGATGGACTGAAGTTTGTGTACGCAATGGTAGCCTTACTTTCGGAAGGAAAATATGATGTGATCATATCGGCCCCGAATCGCATGATAGAATTGGAGAACCTGAGGCCACTTAAGGCTGAACTGCCTGCAGTATGGTCAGATATCTCAAACGCGATGAGAGGATTCAAGGACCACGCGCTACACATGTTAGTGTTGGACGAAGTGCTGGGGTTGGAACTGTCCAACTTCAGTCGGCAACTCAAACTGAAACCGGGAATAGACGACGACCATCGAGTGATCACGGCAATGTCCAACGACTTATGGTTCCGAGCAATGGAAGTGGCGAGTGAAGAAACGAGAGAGAAAAAACAACAACATTAGTTGCGCTGACGATAACAACGATAATCGTGATTGAAAAACAGCAGCAGATTGCAGGAATAGCAGAGAACGTTCCGAGTTGCAACTATTGTGCTGCTACAATAGTTGCCAGGCCGTTGCGAACAACGGTGAAGGGTAAGAGACAGCCTTCCGGATTAGGAGGAAATCAAGATTAACGAGCTTGATTCAGTGGATTCGTCAATCCGGAGGGGTAAAGGAACTGAAACTTTTATCCTGTTACATAAACTTTTAGCTTCCTGTCATGTCCTGACTTGAATTTAATTGATATCTAGATTCATTTTGATAAGGATGAGAAGCTAGGAGTTGGGGGAAAGGGTTGGTCCATCTTCGATGGAGATGATGATTTTTATCTACTGAACAAAAACAATAGTAATATAATAAGTAGTAGCCCTGTTTTTAGGAGTGACCTCGTGGTCTGGGGATACTGAGACCCAGCCATGAGCTCACTATTTGCATGTAATTAAGTTAATTTGAGTGTTTTGACCGAAGCCGAAGGCAGTAACGTTTTTGTCGACCCGATGTTAGAAAAGACCACCGAAAAGTACTGGCTTGGTAGAGACGGTGAAAAGCATGCAAAGCTCTGTTTAGACGCTAGCCAGTCGTCTTAAGACTTAGTTTTGTTTTCCGTCGATATGTATCTTCCGGGCGAATGTTACATACTTTTCGAGATTTGACGTTTTCGAGATGAGGGAAGAATGAATTTAAAAAATTTATCAAATATGAAATTACCAACCAGTTTGGTGTGCAGTCAGAGTACACTAAAAGCCTACAGATCTGGTTTCCAATATATGGAGTTTTCATGTTGTCAAAAATTCGAAGCGTCGAAGGTGCGATACACGCTAGTTTAAATTAATTCTGTCTGTCAGTACTTTTTGCAACTCTCTATACAATAACTACTATTTCTTAAGATATATTACAATGCTAAACTTCTTGATGTGAAAATAATTATGAAATACCTTGGCTCTCTTGAATTTTTTTCAAAATGTTCACAAATCTATAATTGTGTTTTTAAGGTACAATGGACGCATTATATGGCTATGCGCTTGAGTTATATGAGTTCTACAATTATCACCATGCTAGAGGAGGTAAATTGGCTTTGCTTTTGTTTAACAAAGACTTTAAAATCAAATTACCCAATTAAATGAGCCCGGTGGATTCATTGATAATGATTCGCTTTTTTAGATCCTAGGTCGAAAGATTGGCCTCTTGTGGAAAACTACGCTCCAACTTTCGTGATGACTGTATTATATCTTTCTGCCGTTAAATTTTTACCGATCTACATGCGAAACCGAAAACCATTGAAATTGAACCGGCTGATGGTGGTTTACAACTTGGCTTTAGTAGCACTGAACTTCCACATTTTCAAAGAGGTTTGTTTTCAAATCAAAAACTGGCTGTCGCATTCTGCTATTTTTTGATTTACTTAAATTGAGCTTTTTTTAGCTTATGGTCTGCTCCTGGAGTCTCGGTTACAGTTACACTTGCCAGCCAATAAATTACTCTTTTGATCCTCACGAACTTCGTGTAAGTCTAAGAGCTGATAAAGCCTGATTCTTAGTCGTTGCATTTATGAAATGTGTGAATTATAATGTGCATTTAGATATCGAAGGCTATCTGGTGGTATTACATTTCAAAGGGGATTGAGTACATGGACACGATCATCTTCATTCTGCGGAAGAAGAATGACCAGGTGTCATTCCTTCATGTCTACCATCACGCCACAATGTTCTCGCTCTGGTGGATTGGTGTTAAGTGGGTGGCTGGAGGACAAGGTAATAACCAACACTCTGACTTCCTGTGGTCTTTGCAAATTTCCTTTCCTCATTTGATGAAAAACTTCAATTCAAATCGGTTGCATTGCTGCATTTACTTGATAAAAGGGCAAAATAATTTTTTAGTAAGAGTTTTTATGATGCTAAAAAGTGATGAGTTAGAATCAAAAAAATTCAGCGAGGAAGAGGAATGACTGTTTCAGCTTTCTTTGGCTCGATGATCAATTCATGGATACACGTTTTGATGTATCTGTACTACGGGTTATCAGCCATTGGACCGCACATGCAGAAGTACCTGAAATGGAAGAAGTATCTTACACAGTTACAACTGGTATGTGTTGCTTCATTTCATCCTCTCATAAGTTCATTTTCTTCAAAAGTTGAGTTTTTTTTTCTCGTTCTAGACACAATTTTGCCTTGGGATTGGGAACGCAGCTGCAGGGATTTACGTCAACTGCGATTTCCCACAGTGGATGGGATATGCTCTGGTATTTTACGCGTCCAGCATAATGGCACTGTTTATCAACTTCTACATCCAGGCGTACATTGCTGGAAAGCGACCCGGAGGCGAAGTGAAGTCCAAAAAGAAGGAAGAGAAAGCAGAATAATATTCGAAAAAGCCAGGGTTCAATGGGTCTTCATTCCTCGTAAAAATGTACAAAAATACAGTAAATCTGACCTCATGATAGATGCATTAACTAAGTTTCTGGCTAGATTATCATTTTACTTTTGAGCTCATACTTTCTTGCGTCATAGTGCCATAATGTGTCAATTGATACCTATTGATTTTGATCTCTTATCTATCCCTTAACTCGCTTTGTTTACAGTCGTGTTTCTTCCAAAAAGTCTTCGTGTTCGTCCTTCAAGAATTCAACTTTCTGGAAACTCGATTGTCTGGCATGAATAGATTGATACATCGGAAAACAGTTTCTTGCAATACTTTTAAAACTTATTTTTTCAAGTAAAAACCTGAAATGAGACGTGAAATCTATAAGCAGACAATCGGGTCCTTTGTAAATTTAATTTGCAATTTGTAAATTTCTATAAAAGCTCTGATTAAAATTTATTTCAACATGTCGCTACAATATTTAGTTACTGTAGCGTAATGATCTTGCTTTTCAGACTGATTTCGTTTTGCTCAATGTCATGAATGCGCACCATTTGATTTTCTTTTGAAGTTGATTGAGCTGTGTAATTGAAACCGGGACATCATTCATCAGTTTGCAGTAATTTCGCTAATAAACTTTGCATTTTCTCATTGCTAGTCCTCCTTTTGAAGCAACCACGATAGATGTTTACCCCCGACAAAGTCAAATTACTTACCAATATACAATAAATTCTATCAATTATTGTTTTCTCATTGTTAGAAAATCGATCTGCACTAGTTAGTGTACTAAACATTGTGAACACTTTTTGTGAAAATTTCAGATTCTTTTGAATTGTTTTGGGGTGTAGACGGTTAGAGTCCACCTTTCGTGTAAAGTGTGAAAACAGCGGCAAAAATGTCGGAAATCGTTTTTGGGAAGAACCAATTTGGTAAAGCGCCGTTAACTGTTCACTGTTGGAACGGTGACAAATCCATGCTTGCCGTCTCGACCGAACTGGGAAAGACCAACATTTACAAAGTGAGTGGAAGTCAGATGACCCTGGCACATACGCTAGGGGAACATACAGGAAGAGTTACTGGCATCGATTGGTGTGCTGAAACAAACCAAATTGCGACCTGCAGTGCAGACCGAAATGCCTTTGTGTGGATCTTTCAAGATGGCGAATGGCGGCCCACTTTGGTGTTGTTGCGGGTAAATCGAGCTTGTACTTGCATTCACTGGTCCCCGAAAGGCAACAAATTCGCGGTCGGTTCCGGATCACGAGTCATTGCGGTGTGTTATTTCGACGTGGCCAACAATTTCTGGGTTGCAAAGCACGTTAAAAAACCAATCCGATCCACGATAACCTGCCTGGATTGGCACCCGAACAACATGATGGTAGTAGCAGGAGGAACCGACTTCAAAGTCCGAGTGTTTTCGGTTTTCATCAGCGAGTTGGACACAAAACCGACTGAGGAAACGAACTGGGGAGCTATGAAGCCGTTCGGAAATATGCTTGCCGAGTTTGAAACTGAAGGATGGGTCCATGCAGTGGCGTTCAACAAAGAGGGATCTCGAGCCGTTGCTGTTAGTCATGGAAGTACTATTACTGTCTGCTCGATTGGAACAGGTGCGGTCGTGACTCCGTGTCAGAAGCTTCCTTTCAAATCTGTCTTGTGGCTGTCGGATTCGAGGCTTGTATGTGGTGGATATGACTTTGTACCGGAGGTTTTCAATGTGGCAGATAATGGGTCCGCTATCTATGCTGGTGAATATGTTTTACTTATATTTCGACTCCAGAATTGAAACGTCCGAGATTAAGATAACACCCGGATTGCAGTGTAATAATTTGTTGAGTTAAAGTTGAGCTTATCCCTTCAAAAGCATAATTAGATAAGTTTGAAAATACATGCATTTATTATATATTTAAATGCGGGCTTCACTATCTCGCTATGTTTAAGCTTTTTCAACGTATTATTTTTGTATGTTTAAGCTATATCGTATATTGCAATGGTTAAGATTTTTTTTCGATTTTCCAATTTGATTTTAGTAGTTATTTTACCGAGTTTAAATTCAGCAGCCCAATATCGAATGAGGGGTTGCGAATTTGGCCTCCGTTTTTGAATGCCCGAATCATTTTAGCTAATTTTAGACGATTTTTGAGATTTTTTCAAAAAAATTTTCAGAAATTTCAAATAACAATAATTTATAAAACTTGAAGTTCCCAACCCTGTAGTTTGGTGCTGTCAGAGTACTCTAAGGAGTTACAAATGTTTCCCCCAAATATGACTGCTCAATTCTTTGTAGTTTTCGAGATAAGACGTTTTTTGTGATTTTTTCAAAAATTTTCAGAAAACTTAAGTTATTATTATTTTATAAAAATCTGAAATTCCCAACCCTGTAGTTGGGTACTGTCAGAGTACTATAAAGAATCGCGAATCTTGCCTCCAAATATGACTGCTCAATTCTTTGTAGTTTTCGAGATATGACGTTTTTTGTGATTTTTTCAAAAATTTTCAGAAAACTTAAGTTATTATGATTTTATAAAAATCTGAAATTCCCAACCCCATAGTTGGGTACTGTCAGAGTACTATAAAGAATCGCGAATCTTGCCTCCAAATATGACTGCTCAAATCCTTGTAGTTTTCGAGATATGATAATTTTTGTGATTTTTCAAAAATTTTAAGAAAATTTAAATTAATTTTTTCTCAAAATTTGAAAATCCCAACCTTGTAGTTGGGTGCTGTCAGAGTACTCTAAGGAGTTACAAATCTTGCCTCCAAATATGACTGTTCAGTTCCTTGCAGTTTTCGAGATATGACGTTTTTTGTGATTTTTTTCAAAAAAATTTCAGAAAACTTATATTAATTTTTTTCGCAAAATCTGAAATTCCCAACCCTGTAGTTGGGTCCTGTCAGAGTAATCTCAAAGATTGCGAATCTTGCCTCCAAGTATGACTGCTCAATTTTTTGTAGTCTTCGAGATGTGACGTTTTTTGTGATTTTTTCAATTTTTTCAGAAAGTTTAAATTAATTATTTTTCAAAATTTGAAATTCCCAACGCTTTAGTTCGGTGTTGTCAGGGTACTCGAAATAGTTGCAAATCTTGCCACATGCGACTGCTAAACGCGACTGCTCAAATGCTTTTAGTTTCCGAGATGTGACGTTTTTCGTTTTTTTTTTAAATTTCTCAAAGAACTTATCTACAAAGAAATTTTAAAAATTTGGAACTACTAACTTGATGAAGATACAACCGTATTGTCAACGTATAACCAGTCGTCTCAAATCTTGCCTCCTAATATGAATGCTCAAATCCTTTTAGTTTCCGAGATAAGACGTTTTTTCAATTTTTTTTCCGGAAACTTAGGTTTAAAAAAATCACAAAATTTTGGATTCCTAACCATATAGTAGGGTGCTCTCAGGGACTCTCAGTGGTTGCAAATTGGGCCTCCAAATTTCTCCAAAGGCCCATTAAGTTTTCGAGATGACGCTTTTAAAAAGTGAATTAAAAAAATTTTAAAAAATCTAAATTACCAAACCTGTAATTGGGTGCAGTCAGAGTACACTAAAAGTTTGCAAATGTTGTTTCCAATATATGCGGTTTTTCATGAGTTCCGATACCATGCCAACTCTATTTATCACGTGGAAAAGAAACTCTTTTTTTTCGAAGACCAAAACTTAGTACTGAAAAAGCGCGAAATGAATTGTATTCTGAAAGGTTAGACGTGAGTCGGCTAGTTTCATTTAAAATTTAATTTGTAGGTTGTCTGGATAAAATGACAGCTGAGGTGAAAACTGGAAACGTGAAGGCGCGTGACATCTTCCAGCAGCGTGACTGGCGTGGCTCTTCGGGTGCTGGAGGCGACAACGGGGACTCAGCAGACGCTGCTCTGAAGTCGGTACACAAAAACACCATAACTCACATGCTCCCTTATGGCGGCCAGCCTAAAGCAGGTGTGAATAAACTGTCGACTTGTGGTTTGGACGGAATGATTGTCGTGTGGGATGTCCAATCCTTGTCTGCTTCATTGGCGCAGCTCAAATTATAGAGCACTAGAAAGGCAGCAAAATCAACGTTGTACCGAACAGCTATCAATTACAGTTAACCTCCACGATTAGTTGGTTAAACTTGACACGTTGCTGAATAAAACTTGATTTATACCAGAAAAAATTTTTGGTAGCTCAAATATTGTAATATTGCAAATTATTTACACAATATAAGTATTCTAGAAGTGATTTTAACAGATATTTTAAATGAATTGAAAGTCATACGTCGTTAGCATTTTCTCTTTTTCATATATATAGAAAAATGTTGATTGTTTTGGTGCAGCTACCTCCTATTTTAGGTAATTAAAAGAAAACTGTTCAATCAAGAGATATGTTTTCGTCAACGTCTTTTGCTAATAGCTCAGATGAAACATCACGTGAGCAGTCTGGTTCAAATGAGGCCTCCCAAACTAGCCAGAGTGCAAAGTTCTTCCACAAACAAATTTTGGACGAGACTCAAAAAATGTCTCAATGGAAAATGAGAGCTGAGATGGAAATGAAAAACAAATCTTCAAAAATCGAAGAATTGATGAATCAAAACGATCGTTTGGAACGTGAATTAAACGAAGAAAGACAATCAATTGATGGTCTAAAAACTCAAAACCGATGTCTTGAAAAAGACATAGATTTGATCAAAAATGAAGTAAGGCGGGCTCAAAAAGCAGTAGCAATGATGAAATCTTTCGGCAAAACTGTAAAGACTTCTCTTGAAAAAGGCGAAGCGGCTATTAAGAGAGTTGTTGATGAAGATAATTTGAACAATGAAGACCTAAAAGAGCTAACCACTGAAACAAATAAGCTCAAAGCCTTGCATAAAGAGCTGAAGTTCTCCTACGAGAAAATGTGTAATGAGGTCAAAAGTTTGAGCCTTGAATGCGAAGAGCAAAAGCGTGATTTTGAAAAAGCCAGAAAAGAATTGAAACAGGAGAATTCCGAGTTGGTCAAAGGTATTTCAACTGCGCGTGGGCGTTGCGAGAAGCTTGAATCGGTTATCGCGAAAAATAAAAGCGAGGTTAAAAGATTGCGTGTTTCCTTGAGTGAAACAGCAAAAGAATCAGAGAAACGACTGAAACGAGCTGCAGCTCTTTTCGAAGAAAACGAGCGGTGTCAATCGAAAGAAGAGATGTTAGTTGCCGAAGTGCGCAAGCTGGTCGAAGAAAGTAAAAACGGACAGTGGATATTGAAAGAAGGCTTGGATCTTTCGAAATTAGAAAATGAGTACCGAGTTAGAGTTTTTTCAACTATGAAAGAGGCGATAGAGACTTCTGTTGAACAATTGGAATCCAATGTTGCCTCTTATGATGCTATTAACAGGTTTCTGCAAAACCTGGAAGTCGTACTTCGCAAGAATTTCAACCATTATCAAAAAGAGTCTACCGGTTTGAAGGAATTGATGGCCGATTTACTCGAAAAAAACTCAACCGAAGCTATTGAATTCAATGAAATTCAAAATCAATTGCTGAAACTTTGCAAAGAGCTTGAAAGCTCGAGATTTGGGTTAGCTGAAGAAAATTTGGTCTTGAAAAAAGAGAATCAGCAGCTGGAAGAGGAACTGAAAAGCGTAAAAAGTGAGTTTGAGGGAGCGATTGAACAATTCAATGTCGCCAAAGTTCAAATGGATCTCATGTATGACCAGGCCATTAACGACCAAAAACGGAGCATAGCTGAATTAATTGGGGCTAAAGAGAAAATTACTGATGTCGAGCAAGAACTTGTGAACGTTAAAGCGCTAAATGATTCTCTGACATTGAAAAATCAAAGTCTGACTGATGAAAATTTTGAGCTGCAAAATTTAACAACTGAAACAGAGCAGAACTTGCTGCAAAGATTTGAAAATATGAAAGTCGAAAACAGGGAACAAGTTGAAAAACTCCAAGAAGAAATTGCGGTTCACGGAGATGAGATTAAACGTAAAGCTGACTTGTTAAATGACCGCGAAAACGAAGTCGGTCAAATAAGAGTTAAATGTGAGGAGCTTCAGGACACTGTGAAGAAATTAGTTGACGATAATGAAACCATCAAATTTGTATACGAGGAAAGTTTTGCCGAAAAATCAATTCTAGAATCAGAAAAGGAGAAATTGCTGAGCCATAAAGAAGAATTACAAGCTAAACTGTCGGCATTTGAATCCAGTTTCCAAGAATTTCAAGTGCAGAGTCGCTCGTTGGAAGTTGAGAACGTAAAGTTAGTCTCAGAAAAAGCTGCGGTCGAAATCGAACTGTCAAAAGTGAATCAAAGTAAAGCAGATATGGAGAACAAGTTATCTGAACTTGTTTCGATCAATTCAAATATGGAAACATATCAAGTTAACCTTGAGGCTGAAAAACTGAACTTGTCACAGGAAAAAGCGAGTCTTGAGGAAAAAGTGGCAAATTTGGAGGCAATTGAAAGTGTGCGAGAGCACGCCCGCAACACGTTGGAGGCAGAAAAGTTGGAGCTTCAAAAAAAATTTGACAAAATTTGCGTCGACAAACAAAAAATGGAAAATGAACATCAATCTTTGCTGGCTAAATGCGACCAGTTGAATATCATTTGGGAACAAAGAAATACTGAATACGAAGAGTTACATCTCAAAAACGATTCGTTGAGATCAGAATTGGATGAACTAAGAATGAAATTTGCAGTAAGTGAGGGCGACGTGCTTGGCGCGCAGAGGATTGCAGATGAAATGCAAACTAAGTTTTTGGGTGAAATTGATAGTTTGAAAAAGAAAATAGAAGAAAAAGACAGCCTTATGGAAATTCAAAAACAAGAGGCGGATGATAGTCTTGAACAACTTCGATCAACTGGTCAGAAAAGAATCGAACAGCTCAATGCCGAAGTTAGAGAAGCGCGTAATTTTCTGGAACTAGAAAAGAAGAAGCTTGAAGAAAAGTCAGTTGCGAGTGAACAGAATCTGAACAAATTTGAGGCTGAAAGAATTGAAATAGAAAATAGCTTCAAATTGAAATTCAGTGAAATGTCCGAAATAATCAAGAAGCTGAAGCTGGAAAATGAGGAAATCGCCGCTGAGGTGGAAAAATTGAGAATGCAGGAATGTCCAATTTTCACCATGAAAAGCTTTATTTATTGTTCTTATTAACTAAGCACGAAATCCATTCTTGTAACATAGAATAATCGGCTGAACTAAAAAAAAGGCTTTGGTGGTAAAAATTGTGATTTGAAGCAAACGAACAAAAATGTGGAACAAGCATGTCTGACTGCGGTTGAAAGTCATCAAGAAATTGTAGCTAAAATAATAGAAATAGAAAAACCCGTAGGCGAAAGTAATTTTATGGAAGTAGACCATTTTCAAGATGGCCATCAAGATCAAGCTGCTGGTTCCAATGACATTGCTTCAGATCATAAAAAAGAGGGCAGTGTTATGAGCGAAGCTTCAGGCGAAGAAAATAAGAAGCCAGATTCTAGGCTAAATGAAAATAGTTCTGATGATCATCAAGACAGTGAAGATGAAGAATCGGTAGACCAGTCGAGCGACGAGTCGATGACAGTCGATAATGTTGCAGATCCTTTCGGTTTGTTTTTGCTTGGTTGCCACTATGATCTTAGGAACGTTGTATTGGAATCCGATGGTAACCTGATTTAATAGAACAACTTTCAATAGAGATAGCAGTAATTAGGATCCATAATTATTTTCTTGAGGGGAAAAAGTTGAATACTTACGCTTGCGATTCGCAAGCGTTAGTAAATCGGTTTATAGATGTTTCTAATACAATCATTGAATTTCTTCTATCACTATTTTAACCAGCTGTAACTGGACTCATGAATATACGGTTAAACTAGAGTATAGTATGCGCTTTTAATTTTTGATGGCATTATGCTCGAAATGACATAAAGATTTTTTCCGGCTTTTTGAGTTAGTTCCACAATGGTTGCTTATTCGAAACTTTTTACTTATTATTTGAGAGACTGGTTATTTTTCGACCATATGAAGAATGTAGAGGAACTGTATTTGTATGTGTTTCAGTTTTTTCGTTTTTTTGTTTTCCGCGCAAAATCAGGTACCGCAAATAATCATCGGAATGGGTCGGTTGATATATCATATTTGACCCCTTTCAGTCGTGATTGGAACATATAAAAATTCTGAACAAAGTTTCTCAATGTCGAGTAAAACCAGTTTGAAATTTTTTTGATTGTTGGTTTAATTTCAATCTAATAAAGGGAGGCTCAGCAGGCTTAGAAAAGCTTACTACCCTTGCGATAAGCAAGGCTATTGCAATCGGGTACAAGTTTTTCTCCCCGTAAATAACTTTGGGAACAATGGTCAAATGTGTAGGAATGGTAAACTTCAGAACTGCTCAATTTCAGACAAGCTCAATTTCTTGAAAATTTAAATGAAGCTACCTTTATTGAGGTAGTTAATATGTTTATTCCATTTCGGTATTAAGTTGTGTTCAAATAATTTTCTTGAAAAATGTTGATTTTTTCAGATTCGTGGTTTTCGGCCTAGTTTCCGTCGGTTTATTTCCCGTTTTTTTTTGGATGAAATCTGTTTGATTTGGTATTGATTTTTTCTGCTTCTTTGTAAAGCATGGATTTTATGTTGGTTTTGTTTTTTAACTCTGAAAAATTGTAACTTGTCATTTTACCAAGTCTGAATTTCAATAATTTTATTTTTACAACAAAAGTTTCTCTTCAAAAGAAGTAAATATTAGTATTGAATATGCAATTGAAAAAAATATTTCGGTAAAAATTGACCGTTATTTTGCTGAAATTTTGTGTTAGTTGCCACATCACAAGTATTGTTTGTCCTGTCAGCAACTTCAATGCAAGTGTTGTTCTTTGTAGGTTCAGGGAGGTGCAATTGTTTTAAATTCAATTTGTTTTCGGCACAGGAGGCGTCTGCTCAAAGACTTATTTGTCGTATCACTGATTTTTTCTTGTGCTCTAGGCAAAATCGTTTATGGTTGAATGTGCAATAGTTGTTCATTTTAGTCAAGTGGGACTTGAAACAAAAGATTTTTTATGAAATTGTTTTTTTTTCTATTCAACTTGTCTGCTCAAAGATTGCCGGCTTTTTATCCTCTTCGTGAGTTTTGTTCCGTTGCCAATTTAGTTTTCAAATTTCCGGCATGCTAATTTTTTAGCGACAATTTGGGACTCCAAAACTTCAAAATTCAATCTTTCTGCAAACAAAATTGAAAAAAAAAAATTTGATTTAAAACTTTTTTTGTTTTTCTCATTGTTCTACAGAAGCTGTTTTCCAATCGGACTATTTTTTTTAGTTTGGAATATGCCTTAGTTCAGATCATTTTTATCACACTACGTGGAAGAAAAAAACGACAATGTTTTGAAAAGACAATGGTCGGAACATTCTGTGCTACTTGCGCATTATTCGGCTGTCCTTGTTTTAATTGCTATGATTTTGGTGCAAGTATTTGAGATCATGAATTTTTGCGCATTTTGTTTATTTAGTTCTCCGATTGTTTTTTGTCATTAACTGCTTTTTTAAATTTTGGCGTGATGATTTGACCGTATTATTACAAAAACCTGAACTGCCCCAAAGTCGGAAAATAGGTTTTTCGAGCAATATAATAAGCATTTTGATTTTTCCCAACGATACAAAGATCATTTTGTGTCTTGTTCGTTAAGTATCGTTTTGAGTTGAATTCATCTAATCTATCTTGATTTCCAAGACTGTACACTACTTTTTTTTAATAAGGTCAATTTTTTTCAACTTGCGATGAGCAAGGGTATTGCATTCGGGTACAAGACTTTTTTTTCCGGTAAATAACTTTGTTCACAGGATGACTGAAAGTTGGTCATCTCCATTTCTACCCAATTTGCACGTCTAACAGCTGTAGTTCAATAGCTGGTTTAAAACTGTTGTGAAACTCTGCTTCGCTTTTTGGTTTCAAAGGGGCAGACGGTTTTGCTGATTTGGAATTAATTTCATAGAAATAAAGAGCGGTGTAAATTATGGGAAATTTTTCCGAGTTGTTAAGAATTAGATCAGCGCACAACAGTCGGATTGATGACTGTTTTAGTAAGCATTTCGTAAAAGCAAGCTGCAAGTAGATTTTCGCCTAGATAGCCGCAACACTTTGCTTCATAAAATGAAGAGAGAATTTTAGCAGAAAAATGATTTTGTTTTTCTTTCTTCTTTTAGTCGGGCTAGGAACCGCTCGGTTAATTTCGGAAGACTTTTTCTTAGTGGTGGTTGTAATTTTCTGTAAATATCTTTATTTTTCGTTTTTTTTTTCGATTTGTTTTTTTCCGCCTAATTTTCGATCTGATAGCTTGCAATGCCGCGCTTGCCTTGCGACTGGAAGCTTGGTTTTGGCTATATGTATGATATATCGTTTGAACCCCTCCGATGACTGTTTGTGATACCTGTTTTGCATGGAAAACTAACTACTGCTAATGCGTTAACTGTGCCGGGTTTGGATATTCTGAATGTGCGTAAGGAATTGTATATCTGGATAGCTTGACAAGTTCCAGCTTTCAGTTGAGGGCTTTCTGAATAGTACTTCAATCAAGGCATTCTGTGCGTTTGAGGCTTGAAAATTTGAGGTTTCGCTTATCACAACTGATCCAGTTTTTCAGGTTTTCCTGCTGGTCGTTTCCTTGGTGCTGAAACTTCATCTATTGTTTTTTTTTGCGTATGGTCTTTTTCTCTTTGGTCAACATGGCCAAAGCATCGTAGCTGTGAACGCTTTTCAAGTTTGTCCAGATGAACAAGACTGTTATTTAAATTACTGCTTCGTTGGTAACTGTCTTCATAAGTGACTCCTGTTACACATAACTTTCATATCACCACTCTTGAGAGAGCTGGATAACACCGTAGTCTGCGTCCTGGTTTCAGAGCATTACAGCAGAACGTTGTAATCAAGTCAATTTTTTTTCAGGAGTAGAGGCAGATTCTTACAGCTTGGACAAAAAAAACTACTATTACGTTGTGGTCAAACCTGAGATGGAATTTTGCATCTGGGACAAACAATTAATATTGTGTTGGCATTTTGATACCGTGGAACGACAGTTTCTCCTAGCCTTTTTCATTTCTTGGGGCCTGCGAATTCTGATTTTTGACTTGGTGTACAGACTTTTTAGTCGACCAGATTTTTGAGAAATCTCAGAGTTCTTGAGATCAGTTGCCAGGGAACACGGTTGAAGGTTTTTCGAGATCAAAAACATAAGATACAGATAATTTTTCGTTCTGCGAATAGTTCCTTCAATTGTCTAATAAGAAAAACGGCATCGGTAGTTGATCCACATCTCATAAAGCCGAACTGTATATCGTCCATTTTTATCAACTTTCTAAGATGTTGTATGATTTTTTTTGAAAACTTTTAATGCATTTTCCAGTAATGGGATGCCTCTGTAGAATCTTATTCTTACAGATCTCCTTTTCTTTTGGTAAATGCAAGTTTCCCTGTGGCTTCAATCTGAGGTGATTAGACCAGAGTCTCCTCAGACTTCTTAAGGACTTTCCAGCAAGTCCACTTTCCCCGGCAAATTTTATTATGCCTAAAGTTCGGCCTGTTGGTCCTGGGCTTTTCTTATTTTTCATTTCTCAGTGTCAGTGCCACTTCCGGGATAATAGATTTCTCCAATGTATCAGCCACTAAGTGGATATTTTCCGTTTCAGAGATATGAGAAGTAGCTTTGCCACTGCGAGAGAATACCTTGGTCTCAAGTCAGAAGTTTTCCTTCACGTTCAATGAGTTTGGCCCCCACCATTTTTTTTGCTTGCCGATGCAGAATTCTTTTAGTCGTTTCTCCGTTTTTCAAAGAACTTGAAACCATTTCTGGCTTTGTTTTTTTTAGCTTCAGCAACTAGCTGTTTCACGAATGTATTGTCTCCGATATATCACCCGGTCTTCTTTTTCAGAACTCTGTGACTTTTTGAACAGTTTTTTTTTCTTCATAACTCCTTTGCCTTCTCTGTGTTCCATGTTCCTCTTTTTCCAGCTGGTTTTCTGGTAGTTCGCCATATACGTTTTTCGCGAAGAGTTTATTTAGAATTTTCCCAGTTCTCCAGTATTTGATTATTGATTAGTTGCTTCTTTATTGCATCTTTGTATGTGATTTGGTTATCTCTTTCAAATTTTCACGATTTTATTCTGGTTTTTTCTACTTATG